TTGAAAAGGTGTTAAGCTCCTTTGTAAATAAATTCGTATTTAATCGATTTATTGAAACACGAAATTTATTTAAGTTCGTAAAGTAGCTAAGTGCTACGTTTCATGACGATGTGAAAGTGGAGTGTGTAGAGTAAAATCTCGCTTTCCTTATAGCCCATTATGTCTCTAAAATGACGCGATTTCGTCACAAAATATAAAATAAAAAAAAATTCTAATTCGAATTTCGAAAAAATAGCTTCGAGGTGCACTGTCTCTTGTCTAGATACACCACGGCTATATACGGCTAGATACACGGCTAGATACCCACGGCTACGAAATTTGGTCACACACACAGACAGACTCTTTCTTTTATTATATGTAGAGATCTCGGAATTTTGTTCCACTTTTGAGGAGGGGGCCGGAAAACGCAAAGGGCACAAGGGGACTGAGGGGGAGGGGAAATGAAAAGCAGAGAAGGAAAGGAGGGAGGCCAACAGAAGGAGAAGGAGGTGGGAAAAACAATATTCAGCATAAAAATTTATAGTTAGCTCAATATATTTAAATTAAGAAATACCAACAAAAATATTTTGCAAGTACCCAACTTTAGATTTCAAATAAAAAATTAGTATAAATTAGATATTTTTCTTTTGCAGTGTTATTATTGTTTTTGTATGGTTTAAAAAATTTAGTAAGCGAAATTTAAAATGTATTAATATTTATTTATTCTTGTTATGTTTAAATACAAAGATAACTAGCCCGTCAGGTGTTTTCAGATTGTGCATTTGACTCGAATACGATATGAGTTTGGGTGTGGTGTAGTGTATTTAATTATGGCAAAGCACACTAGGGCTATGCCTAAGGGAGGGATGCTTTGTGGGGACTTCTAAGGGACACTGGCGTATACCACACATGGGGAAAAAACACGAAAACACCCATGCAGCCACCCCGTTCGCGGGTTTCGAACCTCGGACCGAACTACCAGTGTTCAGCGACTTTACCGCTCGGCCGCTGGTGGGCTATGGGTTTGGGACTACAATTGTAAATGAAAGATGCATTTACAGCATATTATTATAATTCAGCAATATATTATATAGGCTTCATATGTCAGAAAGAACTGATTTATCAAAGAGCAATTTAAGAAATATTTAATTAAATTAGGAGAAAAATCGTTTTGCGTCCGAGCTTTTTTCGCCTATCCTATGCTGATCTTTAACTATTTAATATAGCAATATAATGCAGTCATAAATGGAACAGAATATTTAAAAATATGCTAAAGCACTCAAACATAGAATTTAAAAATATAAAATTTTAAATTTAAAAATTCTACAACTTCTCTTTACTTATTTTCAAAAGAGAATAGCCTGTACAGACATTAAATTTTTAGAAGCAAGAGATGTGAAAAATGAACAACGCCTTCGCTGAGCATCGAACCACGGACTTCTGGCACGGACTTCGCCCAGCGTGCAGACCACTACACGACGTAGGCAAGCTATGAAGGCGGGAGAAATACCTTATAAGCGATTGTAGCTAATAAAAGAGTACATATCTAAAAGGTTCATACAAAATCTTCATTGTGCACCAAGCTGTCTGAATTCGCATTAGTTACTTTTATTCTCACGTTAATTAATTTTCATTTCAATTATTTAATTAAATAATGTGCGTTAGTTAAATCACTTATATTCTGAACAATAGGAAAATCTTTGGAATAATTAAAAAATATGTGCGAAAGATTTGATCTTCAGACTGCGAAGAATTTACCGAGGAAATAAAATACGAATACTCGCATAAGTGCATTTATACTTATTTATTACTTTTTAAGTGCACTTACCCGAATTTCCATTAGTTATTTTGTATAGTCATGTTATTTATTTTTATCAGATTTTTCGCATTCTTGTTATACTTGCTCGAACTATTGCAAATTATCTTTGTTTAACCTTTTCACACTTATTATTTTTTAGGCTTTAAAACTTGATACTATTGTAAAAGGAGATGCACCCACTAGTCTGGCCACAACAAGTCTTTTCAAGCGAGAGGTAAGGAAATTTGTATTTTACATTTTTATCATATGTATTTTTATATCAATAAACATTTTCTTGTTGGTCGGTTGAAATAAATAAATAAGTAATACTTGTTGAAAAAGACTATGAAATAGTAAGGAAATCTGTATAATTATTACATTTAAATACATAAGAAATTTAATTACTGTAAATTTAGATATGTTTCAGAATTTACTTTGTTTATTGCAATTATGTATTGCCTTCATTTTAGCTGCCAAAGAGCGTTCCTAGCATGGTAAGCTATAGTTGAAAAATCTTTATATATTTGTAGTGTTGGTAGTTAAATTTTCTTCGATCATCGAAATTTTCACCTTTCATTTGTAAAAATTTCATATTTAACCTAAAATCAAGCTTCAATTTTTTAGAAAGGATGGGAGGGGGATGTCGGGAGGAAAAATTTCATTTAGTAATTTTTGACCTTATCTTGTTAAGGAATCATGATGTTGCATAAAATTTTATTTAATAATTGTAATAATATTGTATTCTACCATTTCTGTAAACCATAGTGTGAAATCTCTGTTCTGAAATTAAACTATTTTAACGTTAAAGTTATTTGTTAGAAATTTGCTTTCGAAAAATTCAGCATTATTTTTTGCTCTCGAACGTTTCGGTTAGTGGTATGTTCTAGAGTTGTGATTGCAATAGGATTTTTTCTACAGTAAGGTCATTGCGGAAGATACATTTCTCATTGACTTATTTTTTGTGGGGCGCTTAAAAATTTCTGCTTTCATACATTTCAATTACAAAAATATCATGCATTTTATAAGTTTTAGTGGAGCTCATGTATTTGTTTCTTAAATGAATATTATTGTAAATTGGATAACTTTATGGATACTATTGTACGACCTTTGGATATTATGAAATCGATCTTATGAATATATTGTACGCTCAATAATTCAAGAAATATATAGTTCTACAAGCTTTATAAAGCACACTTTCATACGTTCTGCAGCAGCGGCGATAACGCATTAATAATATCACTATAAACTAACAGTTGTTTGTATTTAATGCTTTCCATGTAAAATAATATTTTTAATCAGTAAATTTTTAATAAGAATTTTGTCAAAAGATGGCCCCAGTCCACTTCACGTTCCTATGAGTAGGCTAGAAAGCGATCGACTACTCGCAGAATCATATCAATAAATTAATCAATAAAAAATCGATAACTAATGTTGTCTTCCAATTCGAGTTATGATGGTACAGCGGTTTGTAAATCTTCTTGTTTTGGGTGCCCATTCAGATAGCAAAGTGGCAATCGTTAGTCTTAAAACTATTGGAGATTGAATTATAGAGACATAAGTGAAATGAATTTCAACAATGAAAGTATGATGTTATAGTTGTGTTGTGACTTGTCTCACTTGTCTGACAGTAACATCAGAACAAGCCCACGAAATTTATCGTGGCAAGGAGAGCAATATTGCGCCTGTCGTTGGCAACAGCCTTGAACACCATACAGGTGACCGTACGACTTCGCTCAGTTACGCCCACAATTTTGATGGAGAGAACCCCTGAGAGACGGGCTCGAGGGGCTTCCATCCCTCTTCCTGCACAATCAACCTCTCGAAAGGACTTTCGACTCGCCATATATTTAAAGTGCCCCGAAGTCGCAAAGACACTATACATTTACAAACATCCATGCCTTCTCCTGAATTCGAACCAAGGCCTTTCGCAGTAGGCTACAATGAAAGTATATTGCTTAACACTGCAACTCTCATGTTGAACAAATAAACAAAACGGCAGATCATTAAGACAAGAATGCTAAGCTAGTTTGCGAAGGACGGCTGTTTTAGTCCACAACAATCCTTACCCGGTCTTTATGTTTGCAACCACTGGTTGAAGATATATATTTTATACTTCTAACCACAAAAAGAGGCTGCAAGTATTTATTTTCTGGCAATTTGAATTTGGAAAAAAATTGTTTGTAAAAATTGCAAAATATAACTTTATATACGCCCTTCTGAGTCTTATAAGTATTATTTGGTAACTTTTTATAGTCATTATAAAAATTAAAAAACAAAAAACGTGTTTCTCGTATGGCAACAAGTGACTGAGGTACCTAAATTTAAAGCTGGAAAGAATATTCAGAGAGGCCGTATGTAAGTTGAACAGAGAAATGCTTGTAATTCTACGTAGCTGAAAATAAAATAACAATTTGAAATTATTTCTAATGCTAATAGATTACGTTACGAGCATTTCTATGCAGATTATTGTGATAAGTATCTGTCAGTTATTTTTTTTTTAAATGATTTATTCACAAAATCTTCCAGAATTCGTGTTTTGGTGTAGAAAACACTGGTTAGCTTCAGTATTGTCATACATAGCAAGCACAACCAACATAAAATTATTTGTATATATGAATAATTAAAAATATTTTGAATTTAAAACATTTTTGTATAATCAGCAGATCATAATTCTAAAATAATAAAACTGCATGAGAATATTAAAAAGGTATTTGTAGCATGCAAATTCTTTCGTCATACCATATATAACAAAATTATAAATTAGAGCATCTTACTGATTACTGAATCGCAGAAAATAATCAAACAATTCTAATTTATTTAATAACCGAATTACTCAAGAGAAAAGGAAAATGACAATTAAAATCGCAAATTATAAAATTAAATACCTAGATCCATTTCTGATGTACGTGAATGAAGCATTTCGTGTTTTATTTTTTATAAAGATTATAAAATTTTCCTGGAGATAATTATAGGAACCTGGGGGTATATAAAAAGTTAGATTTCTTATTTTTTATAAACTGAATTTCTTTAAATTTAAAAGTACCCAAACTTGAAAACTTGCTTCATTTAAAATAATTCTGTGATTTGAAAAATGCGTCTACGACCAATGGTTGTAAAAATAAAAGCTACGTAAGGAATTTCCGGGCATGAATTGTGTGTGTGTTTGTGTATATATTTATTATGTCAAAATGATATATGTGTGTATATATATAATACATTATGTCAATATGATAGATATGTGTGTGCATATATTATATCAATATGTATATATGTGTGTCGTATATATACTGTTCGTTACCAGGTCAGTGAATTTTATTTAAGATTTAAAATGTATTTCTGTGTTTTTGAAGAAATATTCACAAAACATTGCATGTAAAATTGTCGACCCTGCGAGTGATGGATCTATTTAAAACATACATATTATTTGAGACTGTACCCATAATAAATTATTTAATCCATAATATTTTAAACTAATGGCTGTTGAGAAGAGTTAAAATGAAATCCTAACAATAATTTTCCAAAATTATTTCTGAAATTTTAGTGCAATTAATACTTGTATTGTTAATGTTAAATTTAATTTAAATGAAGTAATATATTTTGAGCTTGATATAGATTTTCTGTTATTTTAATTTATAATTTATGTTATCTCTGATTATTTTTTTATTATAGCCGTGGGAGCCACAGTGTTTCTATCCCGATTTTCCTCATGAAATTGTATGCGGCGATTCTTGGGGTTAGTTAATGTTTCATAAATTTTGCTTATTTTTATTTCTAATGATCACACTGAGACTTATGTTTAGCATAGCTGAATTACATTCTCTTTTATGTGCATATTGTTTAAAATACGGGACTGTTTAATCATACACACTACTTACATTTTTTTAAAGTGTATCAAATTTAAATTATGCTGCTTACTGTAGATCTGCAATACAAAGAAATGTATTTTTATTTATTGCCGATGTTGTTTTAGCCAATGGGTACATAATAAAAGTTGATCATATTATTAAAAGCATCAGGTTAATCTCTAATGATTTCAGTATACGTTCATAATATTTTCTAAAGTGTAGAAGCTAATAGGCAATGGCACTGCTCCATGGACTGCCTCTGAGGCATCAGAGAAGCCATGTAACTCTATTTGATTGATCTGGTAATAAAATACATCTATCGACTTCAGTGTTGTTACCTAACTTCAAGATAATGGAAAATTCCTTCCATTCTTTAGCCTCATTTATATAGCATAACATCATTCCAGCTAAATTTTAATTAAATTTTAACGTTCACAATTTCTACATGAATATTTTTGCTCTAATTATAGCTGGGGCTACTAAGCATAGGAGATCAAATATGCGGGATATATCGGATAACAATTGCCGTTTATTGACATAGTCATCGATTTTAACGTTGAATCCCAAACCCTCTGTTTTAGACTTCCATAAAATACCTAATGCTTTATATTTTTCTGATTCACCAAAAAAGTTTATTATGTCGTTTGTTTGACACAATTCAGTAGCATTACTGCACGGCGTATGAAGTACAATATCGCTCTCTTCAAAATCCCTTTTACCTGATTTTATTCTAGCACAGAAGATTCAACTCTGGACAAGATATCGTCCATGTACCAATGCGCAAAAAAGGTCGCCGTCTGCTCATTCAGCTGCCACAAGCAGTCCGTCCCAGTCTTCATTGGGTCCCGGCCCTCGTTGGGAATCCAAGGCAATGAAGAAGCAGACAGGGCAGCGAAGTCGGCAGCAAATGACGTGGGTCTACTTGAATAGTCAGTGAAACTTCAAATCTACCAAATTAAAAGAGTGACACATCAACAGGTCATTTCACAGTGGCAACAGAGGAGGGAAACAGCAACAACTGCCAGATGAACATATGAATTTTTTCCGAAAGTGGGGGAAGCACTCCGAGTCAATATTGGTGAATTGACTTACTACTTCACAGGCCATGGTCCTTTTGAATCTTATCTGCATCGCTTCCACCTAAATGAAACATATACCTGTGGCTGTGGAGAAGTGGATGATCCAGATCACTTATCTCTTCTCTTGCCCCCACACTGCTCATCTTCATCAAAAGAAACCAAACCAGCAATTTATATTATTATGTACTGTGCAACAATTAATTCAGCTGTAAGTGGGCACAACAGGACAACCTAGCACTTGGCACCTTGCTATATCAGAAATTAACCAATAGCTATGCACACATTTTTCTCAGAACGTCATAAGTCTCTATGGTTTGTAATACTATGTAATGACACTCTGCAAAACAGAAGCACAACAGTAGACCTCATTACACAAAGTTTCATTAGTAGTATAAACACCTCCTTTAATAGTACCTGCATACATTCTAGTTTTTGTGTGTGTTCAATTGTAACTGCATTTATATACACACTGCATCTAAGTTTAATCCTTGTTTGGTTTTGCTGCTTATTGTAACAACGGAATTCAATCTTTGTTTCAATTGTATTATGATTATTACCTTGTTCAATTATAATATCATAATTGCTTCATTGAACAGAGCAAGTAATTTTATGCATTGTTCAATAGCGTTCTGTGAAGTTAGCCTGAAAGTGGTATATAGTGTGATAAGTATTCTAAATGTTAAGTCTTATACGAGTGTTGGGGCAAAAGTCATCGCAACTATTTTTTTCTTATCGATATGTGAACGGATCACAAAACGTGTATGTTTCGTGTGGAAGTTCTGCAGGCATAGTGTGTATGCAGAACAACAGATGGCTCTGTGGTAGCGAGCGCTCTGAAATCGGTCAGTTGGTGAGTGCCGTGCGATACGGAAGTAATCCGTGTTGAGCAGCGCGCTTACGTCAAAATAGCCGTTCTCCGAGGGAGAAATGCGATGGAATGTCACAGCGAATTAGTAGAAGCCCTTGGGAATAATGCCATATCGTACAGTAGCACGGTGGGTAAGAAAGTTTCAGCGAGGACGTGTGTCAACCAGTGATGAGCAACATTCGGGACGACTGGTGAATGTGCCGTCATCAAGCACCTCATGGATGAAGACAGACGATGGACGTCTGTCTTCATCCATGAGGTAAGTGGCATCGGAAAGCACCGTCACCGATTTGCGTATGATCCACGTCAAACCCTTCCCATCAATTGATGGGATCGTCGCGTATACGTCAGGGGTGTATTGTTTGCCACTTGTTCCTAAGGCAGAACAGTGACGCACAGTATACAGGGACTTCCTGGTGCGACAGGACGACCGTGCGTTCGGGCGATAAACGTCCGGCTCTTGTGGACAGGGCAATAAATTCTGCACGACAATGCAAGCCACATAAGCAAATGCGTACTTGCTACTCCGACGTTGGGGATGAGAATAATAGGAGCACCCGCCGTCTCTCCTGACCTTTTTCCGTGACTTTGATTCATTCCAAGATTTTGCAACACGAGAGGACATTGCTATGTGCGCCCACAGAGACCCGATCACACATTGTGCGGAAATGCTGAGGCTGATGGTATTCAGCGCCTCCTACATCGTTGCAGCGTGTGGTGACAGTAGCCGGGACTACCTGAAGTCTTTAGGCCCAGGTTGTCATGTAAACTTTATTGTATTGTGTTATCATCTTTGCACGTGAAGGCTATATGCCTGTATACTACAAATAATTCGTAGTTACGATTTCAGGCTTTCATATCCACAATGTAGTTAATACTTGTTTTTCGTCTTACGTCACATTTCTAAGCGGAATTGGTATCTCAAGAAAAAAAATAGATGCAGACTTTTGCCCCTCGTATCTTAAATGCAATCCTATGTATTAGATTTTACATAGTAATGTGCTTGTAAGTCCTAAATTAGTCCTCTATCTGATACAGGACCATCGTATATCACTTAGTCGGTGATTATACAAGACTATGTGCCTACGGACTTACGCATTGCAGTAAAAGCCTTGTGAACTTCTTATTCTTCATATGTTTGTAGCAGTGTGTTCTGCCGGCTTTCCTGCGGAGGGAGCGCAGCAGCATTAGATCGCTTCTGCAAGGAGGACAATAATGCTGTGAGGCAAATATTTTAGCCGTAGTGTCAGCAGTTCTCTTCTGCGGCGTAAAAGTAAAAGTATATGAGCATGTAATACGATCCTTGTTTCTCCTTGCTTTCACTCACCTCAACCACGTGTCCTAGTTGTTGATATTTTTTTAAAAAACTGATTATAATTTTGAATACTCGGGATCTTCACTAAGTATTTCCGTAAGGAATTTAATTTACTCATTGCAGTTTGTCTGAAACTTTCTGTAATTTTTGAATCGCCTTTTAACGGGATTTTAACAACATACCTAACGGTTTTATCTCGTGTATAACTTTCTACAAAATGTTTTCCCACCAATTAATGTTTCTTTATTTTGGAGTTTATCGGTTTCAGTGTTCATATAACATGGCAGATGATGATTCATTTTGAATATTCGGTGCGTTAAAAAATCTCTTTAATGCGCATATATTTCCATTTTGAGTAACGTTCTTCTAACAATGACCAAGTACATTATATGATTCAGAAAGTATCTCTTTCTAAAGAGGATTTTAAATATTGAAGTTAAACCACGCTAAAAATGTCTCTCGGAGATAACCCGTCATATAAATTGCCACTGAATTTACATTTACATCAGATTTACATATAATGACAGTCAATTTTTTTTAATTAGACAATTTTCTTTTTAACTCAAATTTTATGTTATCGGTTACTTCAAGAACTTGTTCATATTCACCAGCATTTCCTTTTCATCACAAACATTACAAATGGTTTTTAAAATAGCTGTAAAATCTGATTCTTAACTTTTAAGCTTTTCTTTCATTCAGAACAACTAAGATCTGTTACCTTCTGTTTTAGCTTAGTCAGTTGGATTTTTAGGGGCCCTTTTTTTCACCAAAAGTTCTTTTAAAATCATCATAATAATATGAAATGAAACACACACCCGAATCTATTGTCCTCACAACTAATGTGAAGAACGCTCTTAACTCCATTACTTTCTTTATTTAAAAGTGATCAAATGTTTCATCTCTAAAAATAATTAATGACACCTAAATGGACTGTAACTATCTTTTATGAATTTTAAATATCTCAAACTCATAATTATAAAATTAACAACTCGTGGCTTCCAACGAGCCGTTTCGCACTGTCTCTTACTCTGTCAACAACGACTCTCAGCCATATCACGTCTCGTGACTACATAGCAGAGGCTCAGGAGCGAATACATGAAGTCATTTTCGTCAGAGTTGCATGTTTTTGTGTCTGATCACGTCATTGTTCCGCTCAATGCAGAACTTTCAAATTATTTCATGTTTTAAAGTTTTTATGTAAAATATGGCACTTTCGAATGTTCTGCTATGGAAAGAGATTTTTATCCAATACAAAAAGTTAATAAAAATAAATATCAGAAATTTAGAATTCAGGAGTAAAGTATACAATAAATTCGTGCAGGTATCAAGTACGTGCAAATTAGCTCTTCTGTTTGTTTATGACCTTTCATATCAGGATTAGAGTGAATGTTGCTTAGGATTTCTGCATATAACAAACACAGTTCTTATGCGGTATTGTGAATGTAGTAATTTAAATGGCCTAACAAGTTTGCTAATTAATGATTATGACAAAGCATTATAAAAATTTAGAAGATAAACACCTTTTTTATAGTTTATCACTGCGACAATCCCATGCAGCCCCTGTACATTGCTAAAAATGAAACCTACGTTCACGGCCATAGCAATTCTGTTTCTGTTGGGCGACAT